ATAGAATAAACTTCAGATGTTTGAGAGCTGCAGGAAATGTACAAATATCACACACACATTTTTATTGGAAAATATGGAAATTTGCTTTTTATTAACATTAAATGAGACAGCCACAAATGAAAATAAAAGGGGGTAAAAACAGATATTGATGATGATATTTATTTATCCAATGATATTTGTAGGCTGAAGGGGGGCTTTGAGAATTCATTTAAAATTAAAGTTGCTTTCTTTCTCTGCTCCCCCACTTCTCAAGCCTACCCAGGGAGGGGAACAATGGCTGGGAGCCACACAATATGTGTGAAAGAGTAGCATGTGGCTCCTGAGCCACAGTTTGGCCACCCCTGCTGTAGAACTTCCCTGGAGCCCCCATTCCAGATTTCCTCTCAACCGGCAGCAGGGGGATAATGGGGGAGGGCATTTGGCATCATCCCAACACATAGTATCACTTCCAGAACAGAACTGGAAGAGATGCCATTATGTGACATGATGTTCTAGGATTCCCCTAAAACTCTATGGTTTAGAGTGTAGATCCAACATGATGACATCACCTTCAGTTTCATCCCGGAGGTGATTTTATGTGTTGCAGCAATGTCAAATCCTTTGCCCCCCCACCAATTCTCCTGTTGAGGTGTGATCATGTGAAGCAAAAGTGCCTATGAAGGGTTAAGTGATGTAACCGTATGTTAGCCTTCTTCCTACTGCAGCTGTTTTCTGTTTGTTATTGTTAAGGTGATGATTCTAAGGACAGGCAGACCTACCAATTAACTCTATCTGGAAAAACTGTTTTGACCATAAAGTGGGGGCAGCTGATATTTGAAAGGGGAAAAGAGTATATTTTGACACCTTAGCTGGAGGGAAATTTAGCCTAGGAGATTCTGGGAACTCCTGTATGTGGTTCGTATTTGCAGACCTCGACATGAAGCCACATTTCTCGTTGTGACCTATGGCCTATGCTTCCTGAAAACTGCACTGTAGAACACAGGTAGTTGAGTTAGTGTTTATTATTTTGTTGTACTCTCTGAAGTGTTTTGTTGCTGGGTTTTGTGTTTCTCTCTTTTGACCATAGTTTTAAATAAATATTTTCTTTTAAAACTTAAGTTGGCTCATGTGTGCTCAAGTCTCCTGTTAACCCACAAGAATGCCTAGCTATCTTGACATGGTGGCAGTGGTGGGATGTGCCAGAGTTGCTAAATGGGGATGAAGGGAGCGAAGTATTGGAGGAGGTACCTATAGATCCATCCCTGTCAGAGCAACAACTAGCAGAGTTGAGGGAGGTACTGAGGTGTTTTCAGCCCCTATTTGCTAACGAACCTGGTGAAACTAATCAAATTGAGCATCATATAGAGACAGGAGATCAGGTTCCTATTAAGTCCAGACCCTACCCCCTGGATGGCCTGATGAGGGAGGTCGCTGCAGCCGAAATACAACAGATGTTGAAGTGGGGGGTGATTAAAGAATCATAATCAGAGTGGGGAGCCCCAATAGTCATGATGCCAAACAAGAAAATAAGGGAAGATGCACCACTTGAATATTGTTTCTGTGTGGACTACAGAAAATTCAATAAACTGACCACTGTAGATCCTTACCCCACCCCAAGAGTAGAGACCTTAATAGAGGAGTTGGCTGGAGCTGCCTATATCAGCACCCTCGATTTGGCCTCCGGATATTGGCAAGTTCCATTAAACAAGGAGGCTTCAGATAAGACTGTGTTTGTATCTCTGTTGGGCCATTATCAGTTTGTAAAAATGCTCTTTGGGTTAAATGGGGCCAGCAAGACCTTCCAACGACTTATGGATCAAGTCTTGCGAGGTTTGCCTTTTGCAACGGCCTATCAGGATGATGTTGCCATATATAGTGGCTCATGGGGGGAACATCTGGGGCACATATGTCAGGTCCTACAAAGGATACAGCAGGCTGGACTTATGATAAAGGCTGCTAAGTGTCAATGGGGTGTAATCAAGTAGTGTATTTAGGACATGTAGTGGGGTCAAGAAGTATGAAACCTCAAGAAGCCAAAGTTGTTAGCATTAAGGAGTGGCCTCAACCTCGTACTAAAAAGGAAGTACAATCATTTATCGGTCTAATAAACTTTTATAGAAGATACATCAAGGGGTTCAGTAAATTGCTTCTCCCCTGACCGATTTGTGTAGAAAGAAAGCCCCCAATAATGTGGTGTGGACTCCTGATTGCCAACAGGCTTTTAATGCATTAAAAGAGTGTTTGGTCCATTAGTATTCCCCCTGATTACAAAAAGCCTTTCGTGGTAAGAACAGGTGCCTTGGAGAGGGGTCTTGGGGTGGCCCTTCTTCAAAAAGGGTGATGATGGGAAATTTCACCCCATCATTTACATAAGTCGTAAGCTTCTACCCCGGGAACAAGCATATTCCACTGTAGAAAAGGAAGGCTTGGCCTTGGTGTGGGCTCTCTCAAAATTGAAGCCATATCTGAATGGGATTAAGTTTACAGTAGAAACCGATCATAATCCATTGTCATTCATTCATAGGATGAAAGGTAATAATGCCCGGATTTAAGATGGGCATTAAGTTTGCAAGATCTTGAATTCCAGGTGATCCATATCGCTGGGAGTCAGAATGTCCTGGCTGATAGCCTATCTCGACGGGGAGGAGAATGAAGATGCCAAGCTGAATGTATGACAGTAGTATGATGTGTAGTGAAATTGTTATGTTAGGATTTCCTTTTGCATATGAAGAGTGTAATAGCTTTGACCATGGCTTAATCCATGACTCTCAGCTTTTCAGGGGGCATGTGAAGCAAAAGTGCCTATGAAGGGTTAAGTGATGTAACTTTATGTTAGCCTTCTTCCTAGTGCAGCTGTTTTCAGTTTGTTATTGTTAAGGTGCTGATTCTAAGGACAGGCAGACCTACCAATTAACTCTATCTGGAAAAAACTGTTTTGACCATAAAGGGGGGGCAGCTGATATTTGAAAGGGAAAAAGAGTATATTTTGACACCTTAGCTGGGGGGAAATTTAGCCTAGGAGATTCTGGGAACTCCTGTATGCGGTTCGTATTTGCAGACCTCGACGTGAAGCCACATTTCTCGTTGTGACCTATGGCCTATGCTTCCTGAAAACTGCACTGTAGAACACAGGTAGTTGAGTTAGTGTTTATTATTTTGTTGTACTCTCTGAAGTGTTTTGTTGCTGGGTTTTGTGTTTCTCTCTTTTGACCATAGTTTTAAATAAATATTTTCTTTTAAAACTTAAGTTGGCTCATGTGTGCTCAAGTCTCCTGTTAACCCACAAGAAAGCCTAGCTATCTTGACAAATAATCATCATTGATATTGTGCAGTGTGGATAGGAACTGTGGGTAACATTCACGACTGAATGACAAGATGTTGGGTTTGCACTGAGATGATCTGTCCACAATGGATTGATACATTTGGTTCTAGGTCCAGGAAGAGAATCTGCACCCTGTCTGCTTCCACCTGCTCTGTTGCATGGTTTTAAATTCTGATGCTTCCATTGGTTGAGATAGGTTGAATTCAGCAGCATTCATCTTGTGATGCAGCCAAGATGGCTTATACTGCACAACTTGGACTTCTACCTAAGACAGCTAATAGCATTTTCTGCTTTTGTTGGGAAGGGAATGTTTCCCAGCCAATGGCTCTTACACTCAGGAAGTAATTAGTTCTAACCTGTGCAAGTAAGGAAGAAGTATTCCTCCTACTCAGAAGGGGGAGGGGAAATACCACCTTCTAGTTGGCACATATTTGGGGCATTTTGATTTGATTACTTTCTGGCTCTGCACATGTTGTCCACTGTGACTGTGGAGAAGGATTCCGTTATGTGGATTAATCTGTTAGGAATTATTTCGTCATGGTGAATTTGCACTCAGTTTTGAGTTATGTCTCACAGCCACTGTGACTGTGGAGAAGGATTCCGTTATGTGGATTAATCTGTTAGGAATTATTTCGTCATGGTGAATTTGCACTCAGTTTTGAGTTATGTCTCACAGCCAGTTTATCGGTTTAAACAGCTGACCAAAATCGCTTGGAAAGGCTTTTCCTGGAGAGTCCAACTTCAGACCACAAGGGTGTGTGAGAATGTCTGGTTTTTGAATGTCCCGGCATCAAATTTTACTTCTTTTAGTTAATTTCAGGACTGCTTACGTGGTCCTCAAAGTGGTTCACAATATAGTTTAACAGAACATATTTAATAAAATGGATATAAAATCTCACTCTTTAACATTAAATAACATTTGAAAGGGGGGGAAATCTTGGGGAATAGGTCCTTCATGTACGCTGAGTCCAAACATTTAGGTCAAAATCACCACCTTGTACTTGGCGGGAGCACAAATTGGAAGCCAGTCTACATGGCACAAAACTAGTTCAATATGATCTCCTTGGTCTATCCCAGACTGGCCCCTGGTAGCCATATTTTGTACCAACTTCAGTTCCCAAACTGCCTTCATGGGTATGTCATACATGTATATATCTATTCTATATGGTATGTTACAGGGTATGTCTGCAAACAGAAAAGTAGCCTGTTCAGAAGGCGACTCTAAGCTAAATTTCCACATGCTGGGAGGTTTTTTGTGGGAGAGAATTCAAAGAGTCAAACCGCCTCCATCCACCCACAGCCTGAAGTGCAAAAGGCCAAACAACGGGTCATCATCTTAATTTGGTTCATCGTACAGGGTTGTACCCAGCCAGCTTTTTCATTTCATCTCTCTTCTCTCTGTCCAACATGCCTATTCTGTCTATGCAGGTCCTGTGATCCTCAGAAGAGTTTATCAGGTGGTCCAAGGGGACACCCTTCTCCCTTTTTCACCAGCAGAAAACCTGGTTAGATCCAACCCATTATCTGCCCATCAGACCTTTGAGGTCCCTTTCAGTTTTGAACATTCTGTTCTCTGCAGAAGTTAGCACAAAACTATTGCTCTGTCTTTCCACAGGTTAGCATCCCTGCCCTGACTATATGACCGTGGGAGATCTTTGCACTGAAAAGCATTTCTTTCCCATATAAATGTGATACTTACCAACCATTGACATTTCAGGAACACTTGCGGTATAAACTTCTTCTGGGAACATGGGCTCATTGTCGTTGATGTCATGGATTTTGATGACGAACTCGGATTCAGGCTCCACGGGCCTCAGCGTCCTTCTGTTAATAGCCTGGGCACGTAGGGTGTAGAAAGCCTTCTCTTCCCTGTCAATTCTTCTCGTGGCATGGATGTCACCCGTTTTCTCATCAATAATAAACAGAGTGCCGGCCCCATCTCCCGACAGAATGTACTTGAGGGAACCATCTCCTTTGTCCTGGTCAGAGTGAAGCTGGAAGATTAAAAAAAAGAAGAAGGTGGGTGAGGCAAGCACGCAATGAGGAAGTATGTAGCTTTTATTAATAGAGAGCCAATTCTCTACATGACAGTAAATCACACAGGGCGCATCAAACAAGTGACACGTTGACAAAGCCAAGTCCCTTTCCATTTTTGTTGATGCTGCACCGGAGAGCGCGTGCGTTGCATTCAGGCTCTGCTTCCTCAACACCCCAAACACGGAGAAGACTCCTACGAGTTTGGCTCCCATGGTGGATTTTAGGGTTGTTCCCCCCCCCCCACGACACCTGTTCGGGGCGGGGGAACATTTGTGTCACAAATCTTAAAGAAGATTTTTATGTTAATGCTGACCTTTTCCTTCCTTGCAAAAGAACCTATTAAACATTCACAACCTGCTGCGTTCATCGTAAATTCTCTAAGCAGATAAAGGACGTGGCAGGAAACACGATAATTAAGGGAAGAAGCATAGCCAGTGTTAGTGTTGCACTCTTTTTTTTATTCCCCACCCCCTTCTTAACTCTTCGTATTTGCTTCAAAAGAGTAAATGGTGAATATACATCGCGTAGAGAGGGGATACTGGAGTTCTGTAACTGCGAACGGAAAGTTACTGTGCCGCTTTTAAAAAGTGAAGATACAGTTTGCATTTATTAACCATTGACACTGTACCTGGTGGTCTGAAATCAAATTATGGATCAGAGGAAGGTAGGGATGCCATCCTCCAGGTGTGACCTGGGGATCCCTTAGAAATAAAGCTCAAGTCCAGACTATGGAGATCAGCTCCCCTGGATAAAATGGATGCTTTGGAGGGTGGACTCTGTGGCAGGGGCGGCCTGGGCTCTGGCCGTCAACTCCCTTCTGGACATGCCCCTCCTGGGTCAGAGCACACTGCCACCGAGGTGCCTACGAGGACCGGAGCCAAGGGAAGTCGTCTGTAGGAGCAGGAGGGTGGACCTCAGATGACGGGGTGTGCAGAATGGCTCAACTGCCACTCTTACCCGTTCCTGGGTTTCTGGCCTTAGCACCGGTTCACCGGTGACACGGGACTCGCATCGGATCTCTCTCTCTCCATGCTACAGGTCCCTAGCCAGTCCCAGACCTCCTCCCTGGTCTCTCCTCGCTCCACCTTTATTACCCCCTCGGCTCCCGGCACCTCCCTCACCTCCTTGCTCCACCCCCTTTACATGGAGAGACGCCGAGCCGCTTCCGCCGGCCACGCCCCAGTATGGGGAATAGGTCCTTCATGTACGCTGAGTCAAAACATTTAGGTCAAAATCACCACTTTGTACTTGGCGGGAGCACAAATTGGAAGCCAGTCTAGATGGCACAAAACTAGTTCAATATGATCTCCTTGGTCTATCCCAGACTGGCCCCTGGTAGCCATATTTTGTACCAACTTCAGTTCCCAAACTGCCTTCATGGGTATGTCATACATGTATATATCTATTCTATATGGTATGTTACAGGGTATGTCTGCAAACAGAAAAATAGCCTGTTCAGAAGGCGACTCTAAGCTAAATTTCCACATGCTGGGAGGTTTTTTGTGGGAGAGAATTCAAAGAGTCAAACTGCCTCCCTCCACCCACAGCCTGAAGTGCAAAAGGCCAAACAACAGGTCATCATCTTAATTTGGTTCATCGTACAGGGTTGTATCCAGCCAGCTTTTTCATTTCATCTCTCTTCTCTCTGTCCAACATGCCTATTCTGTCTATGCAGGTCCTGTGATCCTCAGAAGAGTTTATCAGGTGGTCCAAGGAGACACCCTTCTCCCTTTTTCACCAGCAGAAAACCTGGTTAGATCCAACCCATTATCTGCCCATCAGACCTTTGAGGTCCCTTTCAGTTTTGAACATTCTGTTCTCTGCAGAAGTTAGCACAAAACTATTGCTCTGTCTTTCCACAGGTTAGCATCCCTGCCCTGACTATATGACCGTGGGAGATCTTTGCACTGAAAAGCATTTCTTTCCCATATAAATGTGATACTTACCAACCATTGACATTTCAGGAACACTTGCGGTATAAACTTCTTCTGGGAACATGGGCTCATTGTCGTTGATGTCATGGATTTTGATGACGAACTCGGATTCAGGCTCCACGGGCCTCAGCGTCCTTCTGTTAATAGCCTGGGCACGTAGGGTGTAGAAAGCCTTCTCTTCCCTGTCAATTCTTCTTGTGGCATGAATGTCACCCGTTTTCTCATCAATAATAAACAGAGTGCCGGCCCCATCTCCCGACAGAATGTACTTGAGGGAACCATCTCCTTTGTCCTGGTCAGAGTGAAGCTGGAAGATTAAAAAAAAAAATGAAGGTGGGTGAGGGAAGCACGCAATGAGGAAGTATGTAGCTTTTATTAATAGAGAGCCAATTCTCTACATGACAGTAAATCACACAGGGCGCATCAAACAAGTGACACGTTGACAAAGCCAAGTCCCTTTCCATTTTTGTTGATGCTGCACCGGAGAGCGCGTGCGTTGCATTCAGGCTCTGCTTCCTCAACACCCCAAACACGGAGAAGACTCCTACGAGTTTGGCTCCCATGGTGGATTTTAGGGTTGTTCCCCCCCCCCCACGACACCTGTTCGGTGCGGTGGAACATTTGTGTCACAAATCTTAAAGAAGATTTTTATGTTAATGCTGACCTTTTCCTTCCTTGCAAAAGAACCTATTAAACATTCACAACCTGCTGCGTTCATCGTAAATTCTCCAAGCAGATAAAGGACGTGGCAGGAAACACGATAATTAAGGGAAGAAGCATAGCCAGTGTTAGTGTTGCACTCTTTTTTTTATTCCCCACCCCCTTCTTAACTCTTCGTATTTGCTTCAAAAGAGTAAATGGTGAATATACATCGCGTAGGGAGGGGATACTGGAGTTCTGTAACTGCGAACTGAAAGTTACTGTACCGCTTTTAAAAAGTGAAGATACAGTTTGCATTTATTAACCATTGACACTGTACCTGGTGGTCTGAAATCAAATTATGGATCAGAGGAAGGTAGGGATGCCATCCTCCAGGTGTGACCTGGGGATCCCTTAGAAATAAAGCTCAAGTCCAGACTATGGAGATCAGCTCCCCTGGATAAAATGGATGCTTTGGAGGGTGGACTCTGTGGCAGGGGCGGCCTGGGCTCTGGCCGTCAACTCCCTTCTGGACATGCCCCTCCTGGGTCAGAGCACACTGCCACCGAGGTGCCTACGAGGACCGGAGCCAAGGGAAGTCGTCTGTAGGAGCAGGAGGGTGGACCTCAGATGACGGGGTGTGCAGAATGGCTCAACTGCCACTCTTACCCGTTCCTGGGTTTCTGGCCTTAGCACCGGTTCACCGGTGACACGGGACTCGCATCGGATCTCTCTCTCTCCATGCTACAGGTCCCTAGCCAGTCCCAGACCTCCTCCCTGGTCTCTCCTCGCTCCACCTTTATTACCCCCTCGGCTCCCGGCACCTCCCTCACCTCCTTGCTCCACCCCCTTTACATGGAGAGACACCGAGCCGCTTCCGCCGGCCACGCCCCAGTGCCTCTGCCCGCCCCGAGACCTCCCCAGGCTGTCGGCGAGCGGTCGCGTCCCGAAGCTGCGCACCACTCCGTAGCCTCCAACGGGGTTCCGCCCCAACCGGCCGCCTCCCTCGAGCCCTGTCGGGTGACTCCTGCCGGCCCCCCCCGTCGCGCTTCTCCTCCGTCCGGGGCGTCGTCGCGGGCAGCCCGTTGTGCCTCTGTCGCTTCTCTCCCGCCCGTCTCGGCCAGCATGTCGGCCCGTCGTCGTTCCCCGGTCGCCGTGGGAGCCGCTGCTCTCCTCCTTGCCTGGGTGAGTCCTGGGGCGTCCCGAGCCGGCTCTCTCTCTCCCTCTCTCTCGTCTCTCGGGTCTCGGCCGGGACAGTGGCATAGATCCCGTCCTCCCCAGGCTCCATCCCCAAATCACCAGAAGTTTCCCAACCTGGATCTGTCCCCGCTAACCCCCCCCCCCCATCCCCTCC